CCTTTTTTTTTTTTTTTTTTTTTTTTTTTTTTTTTTTTTTTGGCCACGGCTTGTTGGATCTTAGTTCCCTGACCAGGGATTGAACCCGTGCCCTCGGCAGTGAAAACATTAAGTCCTAACCACTGGACCTCCAGGGAATTCCCTATTTTTCTATTTTTTCAATTCAAGGTCTCTATATCCTCTAGGAATCTATTCCTGATTTACTCTCTTGGTCCTCCCACTTGTCCACATTTTTCAAGAATTCACTCTACAGGATACAGTACCTTTTATTCTATTACTGTATACGTTTATTAAACATTATCTTCCTGACTAAGCAGTCAAAGGGTAGGAATTGTTTCTATAGTATAATTGTCAGCTACACATGAAATACCTCATCAAAGTACAGTAGAAGCTTTCTTAACTGATTTCTATTTAACCAACTTACTGGACTAAGTGATGCTGTCCCTCCCCATAGTAAAATACACTGAACCATGCCCACCACAAGCTGAATTCTTAAAGATGGTAGACTACACTTTTTAGGAAAAACACACTGTTGCACTCTTCTCCCAGGTTTGTGTGCATAACTAACAAGGGTCAATCATGTTCTCCAACCTATTTATACGAGATGTACAAAGTACTGCCATTACATAATTTAATAAAATTTTACATAAACCAATGAAACACAAACACATAATGCAAAAGGTGTTAGTACAAAAATTAGGTGGAATGCTTTGGACTCAATAAAAACAACTGTCAAATTAGAGGCAGATAAGATGGCTGGAGAAAAAAAATCATGAAAAAGTATATCATTATACACTTAATGCCTTAAGAATTAAGATCTTAAATGTCTAAGATCTTACACTACTGTCAAAAAATCTGAAACTGAAATTTGTAAACCATACATTATAGGAGTGGTTTGTGGAAGGAAGATACAGAAATCCAATCAAAGAACCCATACTCAGAGCAAAGGCTGACATCAAAATATTACCAAGTTAATATAGATTAATATTTTCTAAGTTTAAAAAAAAAAACTGTTCACAGTGTCATTTACATTTCCTTACTATGACTCCTATTTTTCTATTTTTCATCTACCAGCTAGATAAGAGGGCTTCTATTGTATACACATAAGGGCAGACTGATTTTTCCCCCAAAGAAAAATTTTAAGCACATCTGAGAGCATTAGAGCACAGAGTACTACAGCATTCAGGGCAGGGAGGTAATATAGCATTAAACTGGGTATGAATCCCTGCCCCAAACTTACTTCCCCTGCAACCTTAAGCAAGTTAACCAAATCTCACTTTCCTCCTCTAAAAGTGAGGTATTAAAATTAAACCTACCTCACAGGGTTTTGAGGTTAAGTGACAACTCATGTAAAGTACTTAGCATGGTGCCTGGCATATGGTTAAGTGCTAAGTAGGATGTGCACTGCCAGCAAAAGACATGCCTATTCTCAGCCCTTACAGAAAAAAGTATCGATTTTAAGATGAATTTAAGCCCTATCTTGAAGATAATTCATTAGAACACTGGAAGCCATGCAGCGTTAGGCAGAGTACTGAATTACTTCTAAGTGGTCATTAACCAAAGGTGGTATCAGAATGCCTTAGAGTTTTTGTCAAATTCAGAAGCCCAGGCTCTATCGCAGTTGAATCAGGCTCTCCAGGGTCCAGGTATGCATCGATATATAGATGTATAAAAGAGATATATAACACAGAGAGATATAATTTATATTTATATTTTTAATATATTTATATATATATTTATATATGAAAAGTTCCACAAGTGGCTCTGATGTGAATCACTGATGAAGAACTGTTAAGAAGATAAAATTATTGATGCTTTAATAAAAGACTACCCAGTTAGTACTTACTCGAATATTAAAATATCATTAAAAGACATAGACAGATTAACTTATGAGTTAGTCAAATCACCAAAATAAATTTAATGAAATTAATAGTTACGAAAACTACTACATAAGCATAAATATTAAGAGCTCAATATTTCCAGGTTTTTCCTATTCAAACCTATAGAGCTGCAGATGTATATCAAAACCATCATATCACCTCCCCAAAAGTGTCACTCCTACTGAAATGTGTTTCCTATATTAAAGAGAACTATAAGACACACCTCGTCAGCATTAAATTTCTAACTTTGCCTTCACATGTTTAGCTTGGAGACATGTCATTAATATATGCTTCCAAAGCAGGGTTTCTCAACCTTAGCTCTACTAACATTTTGAGCTGGATGATTCTTGGAGATGGGTGGGGCACCCAGGCTGTCCTGCGCATCGTTAAGATATTTAGCAGCCTCACTGGCCATTACCCACTAGATGCCAGTAAAATCCCACCTAACTCCAGTTGTGACAACCAAAATGCTTCTGGACATCGCCAAATGTCCCTTGGGGAAAGGGGGGGGGCAAAATCACTCCCAGCTGAGAAACCACTGCTCCACCGAACGTTTATCCTTCCTGGCTCTCTTCAATTTTCTCTTTTCTGAGCTAGTGCATTATCTCAATTTCTTCATACAGGACAAAGTGAGCAGACCCAAAAAAAAGGACTAGCTGGTGTGTTTTATTGCGAAAAGAAGCAATATGTTAACTAGCACAAGTACTTCTCACTTAGCTATCAGCAGCACGTTGGTAGAACTGGGTTTGAATGCCCGTTCAAGCACTTACCAGCAGTGTGGTCTTGAGCAAGTCGCTTAACTTCTCCAAATCTGTTTCCTCATCTGCAAAATGGGAATAACAACATCTACTTTGCAGAACTGCTACATTAGAGATACCAAATAAAATAGTTCTGTGCCTGACACATAGTAGAACTGCAATAAATGATAGCTATTATTATATTAATACCATAAAGGTTGATAGCATTGAAGGATATTGTACACCCTCTGCAATGCTTAGCAGCACTCCAAAATTTATTGTGAAAAAAAAAACAATTTGTTGTGCATTAGAATCACTGGTGATGTTTGTTAAAAATTGAAGATGCCCAAATCCTACCCTCCAAGAGGTCCAGGAACAACACTAGAAAAACTGGCTGAGATTTTTTTATATTCTACTCGACTCTGGTGTATTTTCACACTGTTGTAAAACTCTGCAGCATTCTAAGACACAAGGAATAAGAAATACATGAAAACAACTGAACCACATAAAATATTTGTCATATAGAACAAACACTACTGTAAGATAATGATGTTTTAACAGTTTATTTTGAAGGTCATTTTAAAAACAAAGTTAAAGACAATCTGAGAAAAAATTGCACAGAATACACTCATTAAATAAGTATGTGATTAAATCAATAAGGGAGATATGTCTTCTTCTGCAACTCCAAAATAAGTTCTGCTGTCCTGATGATTCTTATACTTCCAAAATGGGGGGGAAAATCATGGCAATTAAAGTTGCCTCTTAATCACGTAAATCTACAGTGGAAACCAAATTTTTCTGTTCTTCCCAATAAGTCAGTTTCGATCTTCAAACTGTGCCTTGTTTTTTAAAAGATAGGATGCTAGAAATTCAATGGGATTTGGTGGTCTGTAAGGGAAAAGAAATCCAAAATTTAGAAATTTATATTCGAGACATGTTAATTTAAATGTATTGTCCCATAATGAAAACATCTTTTTTTTCTGTTTTTTTGGCCACACCGTGCAGCATGTGGCATCTTAGTTCCCCCACCAGGGATCAAATCTGTGCCCCCTGCAGTGGAAGCACGGAGTCTTAACCACTGTACCGCCAGGGAAGTCCCTTAAACATATTTTAAAATTAAGAGGTGGGAGAGAGGGGTTGTTGGAGGAAGGTGGTGCAAAATTCCAGTTCTAAGTACTAGGGGTATAAAGTACAACATGACGACTATAGCTGACACTGCTGTATGATATACAGGAAAGTTGTTAAAAGAGTAGATCCTAAGAGTTCTCATCACAAGAAGAAAATTTTTTTCTTTTTTTCTTTTTATTGTATATGTATATATTGTATATATGTATATATGAGATCATGGATGTTAACTAAACCTGTGTGGTAATCATTTCACAACATATGTAAATCAAACCATCATGCTGTATACCTTAAACTTATAAAGTGACGTATGTAAATTTTTTCTCAAAACTGGAAAAAAAATTTTAATAAAATAAAGAGGTGTTATTTCATATTTATCACTTTTACATATGTTGTTTTTGCTGATAAAACAGGTCCAAAGATGAAAAATTGGGGGAAACATCTACTTTAAACCCTACTATAAAAAGGCATATTTAAAAAAAAAAAAAAAGGCATATTTAGAATTGATTTACAATGATCTGAAAACATTCTCCTAGCACTTTAAACAGCCTTTTGAACTAACTAGACAGAGACAATACTTGTTACATAATATTTACAGTTAATTTGATGAATTATTTTGCTAGAATGCTTACTTAAAAACTGTATTTAGGGCTTCCCTGGTGGTGCAGTGGTTGGGAGTCCGCCTGCCGATGCAGGCGACACGGGTTCGTGCCCCAGTCCGGGAAGATCCCATGTGCCGCGGAGCGGCTGGGCCCGTGAGCCATGGCCGCTGAGCCTGCGCATCTGGAGCCTGTGCTCCGCAACGGGAGAGGCCACAACAGTGAGAGGCCCGCGTACCACAAAAAAAAAAAAAAAAAAAAAAAAAAACTGTATTTACTAATAGAATGTTACTGTAAAACTTCTTCAAATTCTTTTCTTCTAGCATTTAAAGCAATATTTAGAATTTCTGATATATTGGCCTTCCTTAGAGAAAGAACAAAAATGCATAAAAGATGCCCATATTTTAATTGTCAGTAGTAGAGCCAAGACATATCTTGCAGTCAAAAATAAATCCTATTTTATAGATATAACAATCCAAAACAAATACTTATTGTTTATTCATTTAATTTTTTAACTTAACACTAAGTAATAAAAATAATTTAAAAATAAAACTAAGTAATACACCTATTCTAAATAACTCAGATATGTTCCATCAAGTTCCTTATCAAGTTATGTCAGTTTACTACAGTGTTCATTATTAGTCTTTGAGAAAAACATAATTTACACCCAATAAATGTTGACTAATGTAACTTACAACAAAATTTTCTTATTGGATTTACTTACAAAAAGAATTTTTGTACAGAAAACATGTACAGAAAAGAGAAAAACTGTAATTGTGCTAACAAAGAAATGTAAATTAAAACAACTTGGCAAAAAAAAGTTTAAAACACACATGCACATGAGGCTATGATGACACCTGAAGAATTTTAAGGATAAACTTTTGGACAGAAATATGATATTATGTGTCAAACACTATAAAAATAGTCATGTCATTTGAAATAGCAAACCAATTCTTGGGTATTTATCATAAAGTAATTAAGCAAAAGTAAAAGGGTATGAAAACAGATAAACTACCTGGTGATCAATAATAACAAAGGAAATTGGTCCTAAATGGTCAACAACAAGAAAATGGCTAAGTTAACTGTGATATTATAATTTCATTTATGATCATGAAGGCTCTGTAAAGATATGGAAGAAGTTTTATCTTATAATTTTAAGTAAAAACGAGATATAAAATTACATGTATACCATGATTACAAATATGCATATGATCTAAGACTACCAGAAAAATAAGTGTCTGAATTGAGATTATGGCTGACTTGTTTTTAAAAAAACTTCAGTATCTATAAATTCCTTATATAGTAAAAAATAACTATACATAACTCATGATATTTCAACTAGGGAAGTTTTTATTTTGCTTTTTCTGGTAACTCCATTTGCAGACACTATTATCTTACCTTTCCTTTGCAAGCACAGCAAGTCCTTGTAATAAGATAGGCACAACTGTCTGATCCAGATAGGCACGAGTTGGCAAAGACTGGAGATCCACTTTCTGTTTTGATGACTTTTCTGCATTAATTTTCTCATTTTCTACTATCCTCTAGTGAATTCAAAAAACATGCATGAATATTTTAAAATAACTAGATTATTTTGAGTGCTAAACCAAAATTAATGGAAATATAAAACTAATAGAAAAGGTAAATCAATGACTAGAAAGCTGAGTGAACTGCAAATCTTTCTGCCAAAATAAAATCAGACCCATTTCTAAATTTCATTCAAGCATTTTCTGAAGGCACCATAATATCTCATTCTTTTAATGTCGTATCTCCAGATCCTACACTTACTTTCTCTCTTTCTTTCTGCCTTTTTAGAAGTAAATACAAGTGCCTTTTCTTTTCTTCATGAGAATACACCTTCTTACAATGTGCTTCAAAAAATCTGGACATGACACTAAGTAGCACTGAATCACAGTGAGAAAACTAGTCCTGTTTCAATTCTTTTATCACAGAATAATATCAAGTACAATGTCTCAGTTTGGCACTAACATGTCTTTAACACTTCTGTAACACTTGCTAAACTCCCTTCTTAACAGAGAGCAGGCTTCAGCTTAGAGACTTCAACTGGCAACAGAATCTAGCTAAAATTTATTACCACTGTTTTGTATTCACTGCTTTCATTTTTACGGTTACCCTCTACGGCAATGAGAATGCTTTTCCATTTGTTTCTTTTCTAAACAAATGCATCTATGATTTTTTAAAAATGAGTAAATTTAAGAAAAAATATAAAGTAAAATTAGCCAAAAAATAGAAGAAATGACTAATATGGGAAAGATCATTAATGTGATATTTAAATGATGTTTCAGAAATGATGACTTACACTTCCTCCGCCTAAGAACCCCCCAAAATCTGGGTCTTTCATATAAATTCACCTGACATCCAGAGCATCAAAAACTACTTTACTGGAAAACTTTGCCTTCTTCTGAAAATCTATCATTTCAGAAATTTAGAAATAAGTGGCTATCTCAAAGACAAAACACTATTAAGAGCACTTTCATTTAAATGAACTTTGTTCCAATCATACTAGAACTGGATATAAATGAGTCAACAATTACAAACAAAAAAATTCTACACTTAATTTTTTTAAAGAAAATTTTATTTTGTAAAAACTGAGAAAAAACTTTAAGCATATAACTACAACATACATACCTTGCTTTCCAAAAACACTTGCCAGAACTATGTCAGGTAACTTGTCTAGTTTTGCTTGTGATTTTTCAGTCTAATTTTTGGACTTAATAAAAATAATTACCTATACTTATTTAATGTATGAAACAGATATTTCATTTGCCCATGAATTAGGAAACTTATAGTTCACCAGTAAATTTCAACAAATACCCATATATGATAAAAACTAGTCAATTACATGACATCCCAATACCTTCATTAAGAAACAGCAATGGGCCTTCCCTGGTGGCGCAGTGGTTGAGAATCTGCCTGCCAATGCAGGGGACACAGGTTCGAGCCCTGGTCTGGGAAGATCCCACATGCCATGGAGAAACTAGCCCCGTGAGCCACAACTACTGAGCCTGCACGTCTGGAGCTTGTGCTCCGCAACAAGAGAGGCCACGATAGTGAGAGGCCCGCGCACCACGATGAAGAGTGGCCCCCGCTCGCCACAACTAGAGAAAGCCCTCACACAGAAACGAAGACCCAACACAGCCAAATAAATTAATTTTAAAAAAAAGAAAGAAAAAGAAACAGCAATGCCTAAGCAACTCTGATAGATCCTATAATAAGCTCCTTGGCCAAATCCTCTCATTTATTTCATTTAAACATTTACTGCCTATCCACTATGTGCCAATTGCTATGCTTACTTTTAGTAAAGTCAAAATCCTGAATTAATCTAAAAAATATACAGTTGATGCCTGAACAACATGACCCTCTACCCAGCCAAAAATCCGCTTATAACTTACAGTTGGCCCTTTATATAGGCTGTTCCTCCATATCTGTGGTTCTGTATCTACAGTTCCATATCCGTGGATTCAAGCAACTGGAAATCGTGTAGTACTACAGTACTTACTACTGAAAAAAAATCCACTTTTAAGTGGACCCATGCAGTTCAAACCTGGGTTGTTCTAGGGTCAAATGTATATCCAACCACAAACACACACACACACACACACACACACAAAGATTAAGCTTTTAAGAGTGTAGAACAGTGATTACAAAAATGGGAAAAAATTAGGTGAATCCTATGATTGCCCCAGCTTACTGCATCCTGCCTAGAGAACTTATATAACAAAACCCAGGGAGGAGGACCCCAAGCAGAGCCCTGAAGTCTCCCTAAGTTGAGAAGACAGAATTGAAAATTCAGGGAGACCAAGAGAACTAGAACTTGCAGAGAAGAGTACTGAAAAGGAAACTTTCACAGAGGAGAGAGCTGCATAGAAAGAGACTAAGAGATTGCCTTCCAGTGTTCAAGTGAGTATTTATCAGAGCATGAGTGTGAGGGAACTCTTCTTCCAAGTGGTTTTTTCTTCTGGCCTTGAGTAGTCCCCTCTTTTCATGTATGGAATAAGGACCTTATAACAGTATCCTTCCATTTCCTCTCTCCTGGCCTTTATACTATTGTTACCATGTATTATATTTCTACATATGTTATAAACCCTGCAATTGATTTTTATTTTTCTTTAAAAAGTCAATTATCTTTTTTACTTTATTTTATTAAATTTTTTATTGTTTACTTAACATTATAGTTACTTTATTGCTCTAGAAAATTTAGTTTTTATTTAAAACTATCAGTACCATATATTATATTTCTACATATGTTATAAACCCTGCAATTGATTATTTTTATTTAAAAAGTCAATTATCTTTTTTATTTTATTAAAATTTTTTAATTGTTTACTTAACATTATAGTTACTTTATTGCTCTAGAAAATTTAGTTTTTAAAACTATCAGATTACATACATAGTGATAATGAGACTACCCCCCCCAACAATCAACTGTATATTATAAGGCTTCTCTAACTTGGTAGATAACTATTACAAAATTACAAAAATAGCTGGTTACAGTTGAGCTATCAAGTAGGTATCACATTTCTGTAGATTGAAAAGTTGAATAAAAAGAAAACTGATGTTACTGATAAGTCGCTGAGTGTATTTGAGAAATCCAAGCTACGTGCACACAGAAAAAAAACTGGTTACAAAAACCATTACGTTACTCTGTATTAACATTTTGCAATGTTTTACAAAATGTTTTACAAAATGTGTGAGGGAACTACTCAAGGCCAGAAGAAAAAACCACTTGGAGGAAGCAGGAGGCACAATCCCTGGAGCTCACACAGGCCAGGAGTAGTTCATGTTCCTGTGACCCAGGATGGGAAATCCTCATAACACATGAAGCACTGGGTAGAATACACAAGAGGAAGAAATTAAGTCTAAACTAAAGGTTGGTCTGGTCCCACCTAAAAAAGCTTAAAGGCAAACCTCAAAAGATCAAATTGTTTCCAAGTAACTTAACCGAGTCCTAGAACAAAGCCCAAGAGTATATGAAGAAATACAAAAATAACCAGTACCCAACAAGGTAACATTCATAATGCCCAGCCTCCAATAAAAATTACCAGACAGGCAAAGAAGCAGAAAAAATTACCCATAATGAAGAGAAAAACCAATTCACAGAAACAGACACAGAAATGATACAGATAGCATAGGCAATGCCATTAAACCAGTTATTATAATATATTCCATATGTTCAAGAAGACTGAGGAAAGAATTAGTAAATTAAGCTAACAAAATACTTGAAAATATTTGAAGAAATAATGGCTGAAATTTTTTCAAATTTAATGAAAACTACATCACAATTAAGAAGCCCATTGTATTTGTAGCAGAATAGTGTGCTGGTGAAGTCAACATTTCGTAAATGTTGATATCTTAGCAGAGTTCAGTAGTAGGTGCCATTGGAAGCTATAACAGGTAGTAGACACTGTTTTTGCCTTAATGGTTGAGTCTGAATTCAGAGAGTACATGTGTAAAATGTACAAAAGAAGGTATACTTTTATAGAGCTTTTTCATACAGGTACTAAGAAGTTGCTGTCTAAAAGAAGAAGTTACTTTCTAAATGAATGAATAAATGCTGGAACAGTTGAATTAACCAGAGCTAGGTGGGATTGGTTAGGAAAACAGAGAGTTCCTGGAAGAGATGTGGGTGTTTTATGAGGGTGGGGGGGGACATCATCAATAATTAAGTTTGGATAAATGAGGGCAGGAGCATTTCCAAGCAGAGTAATGATAGTAATAGCTGCTAATATTAGTCCTTTTACTATGTGCCAGGCACACTCCTAAGTAACTTCCATGTATTTTCAGTCTTGCAAGGCTCAGAGAATTTGGATAACTTGTCTAAGATCACTAGGAAGTAAGTGGAGAGCTGTGTGTTAAACCTAAGCAGGCTGACATTTTTGAGGTGGAATTAAATTGTATTGCTGATGTTGACCAGCTACTAGAGTTCCTGGCATGTGGAGTGACTACTCTGTGCCTATAAAATTGCTAGGAATGTTTGTTGGTTTGATATCAGGGTTAAGAAAATCTGAGTCTTTTCATAATGCAGTTTTTAATTGAACTGCTATGCTGAATCAGGTGAAGATACTTTATGCCACTTATCATTTAAGAGATTTCTTTTTAGGCATCAGCAGTCTTTTCTTGAGGGTGCTTGTGTATGGAGGCAGAGCCATTATACAGTAGAGCAGTGATACCAAATTCTCTGTTTTTCAAACCCTCAGACCAATTTCCATGGTAAAGTGAGAAAAAAAATAAGAGTGGAGTGAGTACTGATGATACATTATTTGGTGATTGGTTTTCTTGCTTCCATAATTTTAAAATGCCTGTTCTTTTATGAGTATGGTGATAGTAAAATAATAATTATGCTTGTTTGTTTGTAAGTTTTTACTTGGTAAAATAGAGTTAACAACCCTATGTTAGTCCCTTCATTCACTGTATTATTTTAATTTACTTGTTTGTGATATCTCAGAGTCTGGAAACCACTACTCTACAGCTGCTGCTGCTGCTGCTTTTTGTCTTAGAATTCCATTTTATGTCCATTATTGAC